TTTTTTTCTGTCAAGATGGGGTGCTGAGTGTACATTAATGAGAAATAAAATGAACTTTTTTGATTTTAGCAAATGGCTGCAATGAAGCAAAGAGTTAAAAATTTAAAGGGGTCTGAATACTTTCCGTACCCACTGTATATATATATTCTAATATATACACACTGTATATATATATTCTAATATGTAGAGGAAGCCAGTGCTATGATGCTAGGACAGCCATGATCATGCCTGTTAAAAGACTGGCAGTAGACAACAACAACAACAACAACAACAACAACAACAACAAAAAACGTTGCAAAGCCATCTCGTGTGAACAACTCCAGATAGACAGATGGCAGGTTGACAGACCAGCAGTGGATACAGGATTTGGACCAGGAACCCATATCTGTTGAAGAGATAATATTAAGTTGAGACAGACAGACCTGCTGCTGCAGTAAGGTGAGGATGTCCTCCGCGTCGTCGTCCTCCAGGTTCTCCTGGGAGTGGATCTCCCACAGCGGAGGCTCATCCGGGTATTTCTCTACGTACGTGAACTTAAGCGTTGCTTCCACGACTGCAAGAAGAAAGCAGACAGCTTGTGTGATTACAGTCAGCTTTATTTTCACTTTACAAGCTTTCCAGTTCTGTGGCATGTTTATTACACAGCTTACACAAGTCAAATCAACTTTGGCATGCTATTTCCCTCACACTCACCATAATGTGATTATGTCCTTTTCAATTTTCACCTTTCAACAAAGCCAAAGGTGAGATTTCTATAACAATTGGCGTGCCTGCATTGGATGACATTTTTTGACTCAGTATACTCACTTTCACCATTTTCGTCTGCATCTGATGTCACAGTGATGGTGAAGCTGGTGGGGTCGTCTGAAAGCACTACAAACACACGTGGATTCATGTCATCATCTTGATATTTCATATCAATGAACAATCTTCCGAGGTTACTACATGAGGCATCATCACAGAATACATTTAATGTCGGAAGGATTGTCATGATACAACAATAACATGGATAAAAACTGTATATTACAGTGATATATGCAGAATATAAATGCACATGACCGTTGTATATGGTGCTCAGTGTGGGGAGAAGAGTTACACGGAATTTGAATGGAGTTTGGCGTAACTTAGTTATCCTACCATACGATATATACAGTAAAGGCCCACTGTCACAGCGTGTCAAATCAGTGCTGCATGTCTGACATTTACCTGGAGTACAGTTACAACGACACTGAATATATATACCACTGGGTGACAAAGGAATAGTTAGCTATTGTTGGATTTATCTTTGAGTAAGTAACGTTGCCAGTCAGCTAGCTGGCGCGCTAGCTTGCTAGCTAACTCCTGTCTTTCGCTTCTCCGTCTTGGATGACTTTGGTGGAATCCACACCTGTGTAAGAGTCTGGGTAGATGGACTCTATAGCTTCGAGTTCATTCCTTTGCTCTTCGGCGTAGTCTGTCATTTTGGCGTGGCTGCAGGTTATCTGGAAGTTGGACAAATCATCACCGCTACGTTCAAGCTAACACACACACTGGCTGTGCTGCGTGCTCCACAGTGGTGATGGAGGATATCGGTGTTCGACTTTTTTGGTCTGATACCGGTATAGTTACCGACCTGTGTAAAATGTAATTTAGGGGAGAGACAGCTGTTTGGACATTCTCATTGAACACATGTGGGCGTTATAACAAGCCACTTCTGTTTTGTTCAGGGATTCTTCACCTGCTTCTAGTGTGACAACGACAGCGCCACTTGTTTTAGATCCATTGGTTGGGTCTGCTTGGGTAATTCACAAAGAATTCGACAGTGTCACCAACTGGCAAAGGTGGGAACTGAAGGAGCAAACCTTCGCAATATACTTTTAACTATGAAGGTAATGTTTTGACAACTTTTCTGTTTATTTTCTGTTTATTTGTCTTTCTTGTCTTGTGAAAACTCTGAGCCATATAACATGAGTGCCTGTATTATGAACGAGTGTTAGTTATGGAAGTTATAATAACTCATATTCTTCTTTAAAATCAGAATCAGAATCAGAACACTGTTTGTGCATCACTTATAGTACTTTATAAACCTTGAAAATCATTTTATGAAGCCATATAAATACATTATGTATTGTGTTTGTAATGCATTATTTATAGACATGACCCCATCTACAGCATTTACACTATTCATTATTAAGGATTTATTAACATTTATAATTACAGTGGATTGACTGATTGAATATTGAGAAACTCAATTCCGTTTATTAATGACTACCAGTTCCTATGAACAGATTGATCAGAAAATAACGAGTAAGTCAAGATATCTGCTGGCAAATTGAAATAAATTAGTGGACACAAACGACTGATGACTGAAGAGAATGATGGACATTTATTGAGCAACAGTGAAAGGTTTTACACGTACACAGTAACAGAACGAACTACTGGCCGTCTATTTTTAGCGAGCACGGCTGGAAATGTGAGGCTCTAAAGTTTCAGGTGGAGTGTCTCTGCATCCTTCAGACTTCCATTAATATGGGAGAGGAGCAGCAGGAGTCGGAGGCGAATGTGCAGGATGTGGAGGAGGAAGGAGCATCTCTGGTACACAGCTCTGGTAGAAGGGATCTCGATCAGCTCCCTGGTAGATCTGGATGTGAAGTCCAATAGGGTCTGGAGGAAACCACAAAGAACATGTGTTGTATTGAAATAACATGCATCACCAACCCTCCATTAAAAGCACGGCTACCAAATATCTAACACTGCTGAACATCCGGCTGATCAACTCTACCTTGGGTTGAGACTAGTGGGAGGAAGATGAGCTCTCTCTGGTCCATGAAGTTCAGCATCACAGTCAGTCAATGTGTGGAGATAGCTGTGAGGAGAAAGAGAATGTTAACAGAATGTAAACAGAAAGGCAGCTTTCCTTCATCAGCCCAGACATATTATGACACAGCTATGTTTCTGTTTATCTGAGAGGTGATATTTACGAGTGTGTCTCTGGTCCCTGCTGTTCCTCTCTTCACATGGCGATAGGAGAGGAGGCAGTGGTGCAGGTGGATGGAGGCGGCTTCAGGTGGAGCTAAAGTCTTCAGGTGGAGGCCGAGGTTGATGGCTGCAGGTGAAGGTTCAGGCGTCAGGTGTCTGCGAGGGTCTGCAGGTGGAGGCAGCGGTGATGGTTGTTGGTAGAGCGTGTAGGTGGAGATTAAGATGGCAGCTGTCTGCCAGTACCTGCAGGTGGAGGCGGCACCTGCAGGTTACTGGTAGAGGCTGTAGGTGGAGGTTGGTTAGTCATTTCGCAGGAAGTAGCTGAAGGTGGATGTTTTGTTTGTAGGCTGACGGTGGAGGTTATAGGTGGAGGGTGAAGGAAAGTGCTTCAGCCGGTTTTCAGAGGCTGTTTGTGTTCTGGAAAACGATTTCAGGATTTTGGATTGTTCACAAAGACTGCATTCAAGAAGAAGATTACTGAAACTTAACTTATCTTAACTTAAACTATTTTACTTAAACTTAACTTATGGTATTTTACTTAAACATTCAATACAATAATATTTACAGTCATGATCTTATTTGATCATAATTTTGTCTCAGCTCTTTGGTTCTCCCGAAGTGTGCACAAAATAAAGAGGAGGATGAACATCGACCCCGTTTGAGACGTCCACTTGCACCCGTCTGTCTTCGTCTACTGTCTCTGTAGACGTGGGACGGTCCGGTCTCTCCCAGAGCTTCTGCTTGATGAGACGTCCCAGGTCTAAAGTGTGCGGACGCAGACGGCCGTTCTTGAACCTGTGAGGAGAGGAAGACATGAGATTAAAAAGTTAATACATGGAATAAATTGAGTGAAAAAGTAAAGTGATTGGAAAATGTGAAAATCATCAAATATATTTTTGACACAACACACATCAGCATATCGTCCACGACTTGGTGGTAGAGTTGCTGGTACTCTTCCTCAGAGCGGTTGTGGATCTTCAGAGGGCCGTCATGAGTCGAGGAGGGCCACACTGGAGGCAACCGGCAGGTCTGCAGGCGGGATGGTGGCCCAAGGCTTTGGGAGAAAAGAGAAAAAGACAGGAACGGGCTGAGGAGACACCTCTGGAGTCTCAGCAGGTTTGGAAGGACGGGCCACGGAGCTCCGCCTCCTCTTCTGGGGACGGTCTCCAGTAGCAGCAGAGCGCCGGCGCTTGCGGGTCAAAGTCTGCACCTGGTGAGCAACACATGAGAGGATGTCAAACTAAAACCTGTCTAATACTCTCTGGAGGGTTCACACTGTGAACTATTTAAATATGAAGATCTAAATGTGTCACCTGGTCGTCCCTGCAGCATGGACACTGTCTGCGTGCGGAGACTCTCCTTCCTCTCTGGTTGTCCTGCAGGTGGACGGGAACATCACACTGCAACGACACACACTCATGTTAGAATGAGGCTTCACTAGTACAGTCAAAGAAACATCTGGCAATAGTTAAAGTGAATAATAACATTTATTGTCACAAACATAATGAGCCTATTAGTCCATTCAACCCTTGAAAGAGTTCATGGAGGCCACATTAAGTTAGCAGGAGGCCCCAGGGCTACAATGAGCTGCTCCCTCTATTGACCCCTGATCCTCACACTCTGACACAGTGTGGACGGGTTTTCTGTGCTTTATTTTAGCTGGTTTCAGATTTACGGGTAGCCTCATTAAAAACATGATTACAGGAATATGCAGCATGTTCTCATAAGAACTGGAAGAGTGAAGGAGTTAAAGCCTCCTCAAGGTCAGATAACAAAGCAGGACCCTCCTTATATATAACCTTATACATATAGTATTTCCATACTGTAGGAAAATATAATTATCAGATAATATTTACATTAAAAAATATAAAAGTTCAAGTACTTTATAGTTGAGAGCCGACTTTTAAATGGCTATAATTAAACATCCAACATCAATGTGTTAGCTTGGAGCTGGTTGATATGAATTTGTGATAAGAATTATTTGATAAAAGACATATAATAATATGATAAAATATTATAGTAAGTCAGTGATTTTAATGTATTTATAATGACTAGTTAGATGAACTGAGTCGAACTGAGGCTAATGGATCAGGTAGACTACAGTACTGTAGTCTACCTGATCCATTAGCCAAACAGTGTACCTCATTACAGTAAAAACCAGCGTATCCGACAATGTTTATAATGATAATAAGAATCATATTAATGATAATGTCCATTTTAATTTTTTTGTTTCAGTGGGGGAGTGTTCATGGCAGAGCCGACTGAAGTTCAGCAGTAAAAGTTATCTTTTAAGCTAGTTAAGCTAGTTTAGCTAGGTAGCTAGCTTAAAACGTTAGCTTAGCTAAACGTCTCGACGCTAAAACACATAAAAACCTCTCAAAGTGTTTAAATCTCACATTTTCCATGATGGAAGTCAGACGTATCCTTCCGTCAGTCTCTCTGAGTCTAGTTCTTGTCAGGATGTACCAAGTTGTCAGTAGAAGCGACACTTTGCAACAGATCGTTGGGTGAAAGTTGAGAAGACACTTTTCTTGACCGTTTGAGGCGTTGTGTACGTTTAAATGATGATCATATATTAATGAAGCGCTGGGACGTAACCTAGCAACTATGGAATCCTTCACGGCCATTTTGTTTTCACAGTCACGTCTATACATAATTGTTGTATATTTACATATTATGTATGCATATTATTTAAAGTTTCATTACAGTATTATTATTGCTTTTCTCTCAGTTATCATATCGAGAACCTCTTCATGCAAAGAGCCAAACTGATGACTTTTAAACACAAAGTGGTGATCTACATAAAAAATGTAACTCTGAATCAGTTTATGTAGTTTTGATAATTATTAATAACTTCATCATCATACATCATACATGTCATACATCTTAAATGTAGGGGAACACAATATGGTTCAAAATAAAAGGCATATTTGTAGGTTTTTGTGTAAATGACTTCACCAACAGATTATTTTCATCACCCTGTTTTTAAATGTTACTC